CTGAGTCGTCGACGATGGTCTCGTGCACGGCGTGGCTGAAGCAGTCCTTGTATCCTTCGGGCGGCGAGAGGGTGAGCTGCTCCACGTCCCCCGAGCCCGGCAGGAGGCTCAGGTCGAACGACCTAATCGACACAAGTTGAGGTTCATTTTCCTCATGCACCAGAATCACATAGTCGGCCTCCAAACACTCATTTTTGGCCTCATTTATGCTGACGCGATGCCCCTTGCTCCTCTGGCCTGCCCGCTTAAGGGCCGAGCGCAGAGGGGCGCCGCTGGAGCTCGTAGTGACCATGGCACTTCCCGAGCCTGCAGGCTGCTGATGGGCAGCGTCGGATGCCGCCATGAGGGCCTGAGGCGCGGCGCCCTCACCTGTGTCCGGGGGCGGCGCCGCACCGCACTTATGTTGCATTACACACTCACTGGGTGGCGCACTGACCGCAGCTGGCCGGCCTCCGTCATGGCTGCGGGAGCGGCGCGGCGCTGCTGTGTGCTCGTCACCTCCCACCGAAGCACTGGCGGAGTCCCCCTCCGCTGCGCACACCTCGTCACGGATCAATACGGCGTCTTCCCTGCCAGCCTCCTCGCCGCCCTCGCACGCACTCTCGCCGCGATCACGGCGCCCACACTCGCCCCCGTCGTCCTCGGAACCCGAGGAACTGTCGATAAAGTGTATGTCCCTGAGCGAGAGGCGCGTTTCCTCCGAGATGGTCCTGCGGCTCACCTCGGCCGCCTTGCACACGCCCGCCGGCAGCCTCACGCCGCTCTCGACGAGGCCATCGTCCAGCGGCGGCGGGGATGTGGGCGGCGTGGGCGGGCGGGGGTCGTAGACGGCCTGGAGTTGTGTGGCCATAGCGGGGGCGTCAGTTAGCAAGCCTGGATGCATGTCATTCACTCATGGATCACAGGTCAGAGCGGGTCCTGGTCCCGCCACCCACTTGTTGCCTGGCGCCCGTCATGCCATGAGCGCCCGCGCGGTCACGGCTGGCACTCGGCGGGCACAGGCTGGCCCTCGTGCCCGTCGCGGTGCCAGTCGAGGACGGAAGGCCTGGACTTGCAATGCGTGGGTGTATGCCGTGTGATTCCAGCCGAGCGTGAACACGTACCACTTGGTGCACCGGCAGACGGCACCAGAATATGGGTCAGTGGTCACAGTGGCTGACTCCCGTGGCTGCGGCACAATACTCCCGCAGGTCCTCGCTACTCCTGCAGAGCGCCGCAACACTCCCGCACGCTCTCGCTCTAGGAAATCCACGAAACACTCGCGAATATATTTAGCACTGCGCGTATCCTGTCGACACTTGCATATTCCTAGCGACACTTCACCGAATCCGCACTCGATAGCCCTGCAGCGCCGTGCCACAGGGATTAGGCGTCACCTTCAAGACTTTATTTCACAGACATCCCTGCAGAGCCACGTCCTCAGGACAAACATCCACGTCTCACGCGGTCCAGCTGCGCACTGTGATGCTAGTGTGATTTCTCCAGATGAGTGCTCCGTCACAGTTCCCGAGGTCCGTGACAGGCGGTGTTGGGACACAGAGTAAAGACGAGGACCGCTGAGCCGCCCCTTGTGGCAGCACCGTCGAGCAAAGGGGGGCGTTTAGGCTCTCCCAACACCACACACACACGCGGCACCGTCTTGACTTACACTGCAGATAACCACATCAAGTAACTACTTCCCCGCACTCTTTTGGTACTCTCGACAGTGCCTGGTGCCACACTTTCAAGTGCCACGCTGTTGATCACCGAGATGAAGCACACTGGAGGCTCGATTTTTGGTTGCACTCTAGTAAAGACGGAGCTGCAGTGCCACGTCTGCTCTTGCTGACAACACACTCACACTAACACAGTTATTGATTGTAATTCTTTTGATAAGATAAGATAATTATGTTATCAGTCAAATTCACATCGTCGAGCAGTATCCCACACAAATCAGAAGTAATCTCCCTGATAACATTCCAAAAGGGTAGATTTCCTTTAGTCAACCGGTACGTGAAGGCGGAGTCAAACACGTGTAGCTCGCTACGTGCAGACGGTGAGAAACACGTGTAGCTGGACACATGCAGGAGAAGGGGCACCTGTGTATTACACGTACTCCGCGTATTAACGCTGGAAAATCGCGAACTGCACGCCACGAACGCCCGCTCCTTCCATTCAGGCGTGACACCAACCCCGTCCGGACAGATGGCACGTGACGACCGGGACTGCAGGTGTAGCGTACGCACAAGACGACAGGTGCGGCCGCGTGCGCTCTCCCCGGGGGGACCAGGAACACGTCCAGCCACTTTCTAGGTGGGGAGCTGACATACGACTTTCACTGGTGCAGGCTCGCCATTCACACGCCGGGCCCGTCCAGTGAGGCAGCCGCGGGCCCGCACTCCTCGTGGCCTCGCCGCTCGCCCTTTAAGTTGCTCTCAGGAACACTCATAGCCACAAACACGCCCCTGCTTCTCGCCACGGCTCCGTAGACGCCCGTCATTCACAAGCAACTCGATAATCT